TACTCTACTTTTCTTTTTGAGGATGCAGTGTTGCGCTGAGTAATTGCAGATACACTAGAAGAATAACTGAATAAAAAGGGTGGAGTTTAAACTAAACCGAGCATGAAAGGGAGAAAGCCTAAAAGATTGAGATAGCAGAGAAATGTCGGGTGACAAAAGAACCGCACTATGCTGATTTCTCTTATCTCTCACATGTTAGTGTCCTGACACAGTGTGTGGATCAGCTCTAAAGTGCACGTGTGTACAGGTATGTTTGCCAATTATCATCTGTGTTTGAGTTTCAGGTTTCGGAATATGCTGCCCCCATGAACTCTGATACTTTCTGTAGTTTTAAAGGTAGAACATGTAACATTAAAGTTACATACAAAAAACAGATGAATGTTCCTCAGTCTATGTATTTTCCTCATGTCAACCGACAACATGTCAAATGATGTAATATGTAATAATGTTTTATCACTGATGTCCTATGACCTTTACTTCTCCCTGTACAGGCGACCATCAGACCCTTTTAGTGAGGGGGATATGGCTCCGATGAGCTGTTTGACATCTGATTCCAAATACAATCTGATGGGAATTGCCAGGTTTTTGGATGCTGAACAGTAGTGCCCATGATCTGATGAGCAACAGAGAAAAATACTAAAAATGATGACGTGTGTAAGGGATTGAACATGCATCAGTGTGTGGTACACAGATGGAGTCCAGCAGAAACGACTGCCTGTCACAGAACCATTTTGTCCATGCACCTATAGTTTTCTTTACTCTGAAGAGGCACTGCTAGTTGAGCAAAATCCCTTAGAAGCCTTGGAAGGACTCCATCTGGACTTGCATCCAGCCCTGAAGTTTCCTGAGCTCAGCTTCAATTACCTCCCTAGTTACAGGCGGGGGGGTGGGGGGAGACACCTTTCAGGTTGGAGTGGCGAGACGTTATGAATTCATGTGGAGAAAGTTGTGAATTGTAAGCTAAACTCTCTGCCTACAGCTCAGTCACACCCAAAAATTTGGATTTAATTATTAACACATTCAGTATGTTGTAGTTTCACAATCCTGGCTTTGAAATTGAGTGTAGTACATTTTAGAGGGCAGTTACTCTGGGCCAAATGTTTAATTTTTTTCCAAGTAAGTTAAGTAAGTTCACTTCACTGGAGCACTGAAAATAATGTTTCACATAATGAAAATGAGCGAAGGCCATTATTTATCAGGTTCTGTTGTATTGTTGTGTGTGTTGACACATGTTCAGAAGAAGAAGAGAAGGAGGAGGAGGAGGAGGAGGAGGAGGGGCAGAAAGAGAAACTGAAGAAAAACAAAAGAAAGGTTATTTCTTTTTAATTATTTTCCCCCACTGTGCAAACATTGTTCTTTGTGTTTTATTGTAAGTTGAATGTTGGATGTTCAGTTTCAAGTGAAAGAACATAAAATTACACTTTGGATAAGCCTTGATTTATTCAGCAAGACATTCACAAACTCCAAACATCTAGTGTAACAGCATTACTTCATTGTTCAACATAATGAGAACTCTAATTACAATTAAAATTAAGAGATGGTTTCGAGATAAAAATGACGTAAGGGATGAGTTGTTGAACGTCGGGATGGAAAGAGGGTGGATGAAACGAGTCAAAGTTATCAGAAAAGCAAGAATGAAAAGGAAAGATCACAGGACAGAGAGGAAGGAAGAAGGGAGGAGGTGGAGCAAAGAGGAGACAGGAACTGGCAGTAGGTGGAAGAAAAATGACAAAAGGGGGTGCGAGAAAGTTGAAAAGGCCAAGAGGAAAAGAGAAAGGCATTCTGGGGGTTTGTTCGCAGCTATCAGCTTATCCAGCATGCTTAGCCTGACAATACACACGCACAGGATGTGTGTGAGGCTGACACGCTGATGCATCCTGTCAGCAGCAGAACAGCTGACTGGGACATCTTCCTATTTCCACTGACTGTGAGAGTGGGTGTGGGTCAGCAAAAAGCCACTTTCTGATGCTAGGGTGGTCTCAGGTTGTGGACATTTTTTAAACTAAAACCTTGAAAATCGAATCATTTTGTAGGTTTCACTTGTAGTTTAATGTTGCGCGTTACGGCAGCTAAACAGTCCGTACACACAGCACTTTCCACAGGGTTTCACATGTCAGAATCTTACATTATCGGCCTGTTCAAAAAAATAAAATAGGGAAAAAATAGGGAAATAAAAATAGGGAATAGATGTTTTTTTAAATATGGAAAAGACGTGAGGTGGAATATCATGACAGCAGCTACAGTGCAAACCAGTCCTGGACAGGCGTGCGTATTAGTTTTGATTTATTTATAGTGGATATCACTGGAACCCTTCTGAAATGCACCATTGTGGCTTTCATCTGTCCATCTACAGGGGCAAAGCTGTCAAATCAAAATGTTTGATTCAGTTTAGAAAAAGAACAGGGAACATTTCCCAGCATTTTGAACAACTCTCCGACATGAATAATGGAGAGCATCAGCAAGACAGACCGAGGGAGTGCTTCTGAACAAGACTTTGTGATATCTTATTTTAGGCCAGCCCATATTTTTATTGTCCTACTGTGACCGCTGTAATGCGTCTCTTTGTGTGTTTGTGCCTTCTTTTGGGCATGGCTCAAACGTGCAGTGTGAGGGCAACGGGGAGGATGCAGTTTTAGGAGCCGGGGAGGAAACCGAAAAAGACGGCAAGACTTGATGAATGCCTTCTGTGTCTAAACTACAACCTGCTATTGTGGTCTAGTTTTCTATATGGGACCTGTGGACGACATACCAGAGCATAGACACACTCGGTTCTATGGCCAACTGTTAAGCTGCCTTGACTCCTGTTGCTCTGCTTCAGTGGTCTTGAGACAGGTTTAAAGAAACTAGAGGCACAAAAACAACCCTTATAACACATACAGGTGGACAAGGCCTCCGCTCACCTCCAAAGGTTGCAGCCATTAACCTTTTTTTTCATTTATTTCCTGCTTTAGACAGTGTTAACTTGAAATTATGAGTAGGAAATCCTCAAAACTTAATCTCAGTCACAGTTACACTGTTTTGAAAACATTTTTTATATTATGATCTTACTGTTGTTTTCCCCTCATAATTAAGTTGTTGCAGGATGTAAAAAAGTCAATGTTCTATTAATCCCACATCCATGGACAAAACAATTAAATATAAACTGAAACTCCAGTGTGCTTTGGCCTGCATTTCAGTCTTTTAGCCAGAGTACAAACACACTTTGCACGCAATCCCTGTATCCACACAAACATCACAGAAGCTGCTAATCTGCCCCGTAAGAACAAAAAAACATCCTGCCCATAAAAGACAGCGGGATAATATGTGTTTTCTGGTGCGTGTGTATGCGCTGCGAGACATTTTTAGATCCCAAGGACAGTGTACGTTTCCTGTCTTGCTTTCTATTGTTCCTGCAGCGACAGTGATCCTCAGGAGGCAGCCAAACCACCAGCTCTGCTGAGAAGCAGCCAACGGGGGGCAGGACAGAGGCATGCAGAAGCTGAGGGGAACTCATCGTCCTCCACACACATCAACAGCCTGGTAAACACGTTACCCGTGCTATAGAAAGTCTGTGATGACGTGCCATACAGAGGAATCACTCTGTGGGTTTCATAGGTCAAAGACAACAGAATGTGATGCCACTCCATCGGTGTGAGCTGGGTTATGGGCCGGGTTATGGGCTGGGCTATGGGCTGGGCTATGGGCTGGGTTATGGGCTGAGTAATCTGCTGCACGCGGGCGGATACGAAACACTGCTGACCTTTCACCTTTAAGTTTATGTGAACATGGCATGCTTTTCCTCAGGTGACTAATCGCCCTTGCTGCCATCTGGAGGAAAGTCTTAGTACAACTACAACGCAAGAGAGAAAGACCTATGAAAATAACTATCATTTTCTCAAAGATATTTAAAGTTATGAAATTAGAAATAATTTCCTTGTGAAAACTTGGCAAAAACCCCTGGTAAAAATGATGGGAGCAGCACTCTGGAGATGTTAATCCAGCTTTTTTATAGAGTAACAAAAAGAGATAAAATTATTTTTAAGGAAAGCTAAACACATCGTCTTCCTGAGAAAAAAATAAAATAAATCTAACTGCCATAAAAGCCATTAGATGCGCAAATTGAAATGTGTTAATGAATCTGACATTTAAAAATATTTGCGGTCTAGCAGGTCACTTCACTGATCCAAACATGAGCGGTCAGTGAAACTCATTGTAAATTTACTTTGAGGTTGAATGCTCTGTGAATAATTAAATTTTTTCTCCTGTAGTTACACCTAAACTCTCGAGCAAGAAAACACACTTGCATATAGTCAGAAAACCATGATCATAAAAATGTGTAAAAGACATTAATGAAGCCCTCAAAGAACCCAAACTAGATGGATGATTTCCATCTTGGTCAAAAAGGTTGCCATGGTTACTGTACCATCATCTGTGTGCTCATCATTTATGCCCGGATTTGTATAAAATTTCATACCTAAATAGCGGTACGCCATAATAGGTAATAAACAGACACAAGAGGACAAATCTGAATATTTTAAAAAAATGTATTTGTATGTACTTACATACTGGTGTCAAAAGAGTATGCACCAAAATGTCACATTGATTCACAACTACAAAGAAAAAGGTTATTTCTTTTTCTTCTGTTACAAGTATTGAAAAATCTATGTACATAAAAAGGGTATGCTGACAAGAGATTACACTAGAAACTTACAGTCACAATGATTTAAATGAGGCGTTTGACCATAAAAGAAAAGAAAAAAATTCTCAACAGTTACCTGTGTTGGTGCTCTCAACTCAACTGCATTCCCACTCAAAAATAACCTGGTGCAGCCTCTCACAGCTCAGTGACTAGGCAGTTTCAGAAAGAATTCCTTAAGAAAAGAAGGACAAAACCTGCCAGAAGACTGATCAAAACTGAAGAAAAAGAAAAAATGTTGAGCAGAAATACTTAAAAAAAAAGTCCTAAAGATCATCTTAAAAAAAAAAAAAAAAAAAAAAAACCCAAAAATCATCTAAAAAAAAAAAAAAAGACCAAAAAAAAAAAAAGAAAGTGGGCATTCTGGACAAATAGAACTTTGACATGGCTAAAGGGAGGTCCTGGACACAAGCCTCTCCGAGGGGCACATGCCTCCATTTCCTCATCGTATCATATAAATGGAAAGCATATGAACTCCACAGACCCCAGCATTTTCCCTCTATGGATATTTACAGATTTTGATTTGAAGACAAGACACAAAACACCAAAGAAAAAAGGCAAGAAAATGGGGTAGAACTTTTGTGTAATCAAAAACAAAGAATGATCTCATGTGAACAGGGGAAAAAAATACAAATAAATGATGAGAGCAACTGGACTGATTCCCTAAATCCATCAGTTCTTCTCCTTCTGACAACGTCGTCAAAAAGCTTAAGGACAAACCACGACTCGTCAGAGGATCCCAAAACAAGCACCGGCAGAGGGAGAAAAGCTAGACGACCCGTTCTGACCCATCTTTGCACAGTACCATATTCAGTGAGTTCATAAATTTACACAATGCCAGAGTTGGAGTAATACTTGGCGCATTCCAGCATTTATAGGAACGTCTGCCATTCATCGTGCAACGGTCACTGTAATTGAACTTTATTCTCTCTGAACAATCTTCAAACCTTCCTCACAACAAAAATCCAAGCTGCCAAATGGAAAGCAAACAAATCCAAGAGTGCAGTGTGAGACGGCGATGACGATGAGGAGTCTAGGATAAACAATCTGTGTGGACTGGTTCCTGGTGCGGCCGTCCAGAGACAGATGAATGGAAACTGCAGCGCTAAGAGCACGGCAGGGCACCCGCCTCTTTACGACTGAGAGAACTAAAAATGTGTCCGGCTTCTTTTCCACTGGACCGATACCCAAAAAAATATACTGGAGGGGAACGTTAATGGGAACATTCAGCAAGAACAGAGCACAAGAACCCTACAGATGACCTTAGCTCTGCTGACCTGGAACCCTGCGTCCAGCCTGTGTGATGTCTGGGTGACGTGTGTTTAGGAGGTACGGATATCATTTTGAACAGAACGTGTCTCTGGTGTGTCGGGTGATGCGTCGGACCAGCTGCTCCTTTGGGGGGGGGGGGGGGGGTGGGTTGGTTTCTCTCCTCTTTTAGTCACTTTTTGCCTTTTTGCTGTCGTTTCCGTTCTCCTCTGGCTCAGTGCCTTCTGCCTGGGCCTGCAGCTTCCTCTTCTTCGTGTCGTCTGACTCGGAGAGGTGTGGCCGCAAGGTAATGATGATGCAGGTCATGTTATCACACCCAGTCCCGTCTCCAGATGTGTCGGGGGCCAAGCAGTGGTCCAACAGCTGTAAGGAGGACACAGGCGGGTCAAAAGAAAAGATGGAAACCAAAACCATGTTAGCGGGTGATTTGATGGCAAACGAGTGGTTTCAAATGCCACTCACCTCTTCCACTATGGATGAGAGGGGTCTGGCTTTTCCACTCTGGTCTGGTTTGATCCTCTCACTGATGAAGTCCACCACCTCCTGACTGCTTAACACGTTCCTGCAAATGCAGAAAACAAAACAAAGAGTTCAGAGGTCAACATCATTGGGTTTTGTTTGGGTGTGTCTGAACCAGTGAGAAACTGGACGGTGAAGCCAGTAGCTACCGGGGCCAACTCACCAGATGCCATCACAGGCAATGACCATGAAGTCATGGTCCTCGTTCAGAGTCAGAACTTTGACGTCGGGCATGGCGGAAATCATCTGCTCCTCTGGGGGCAGGACCTTGTTCCTTTTGTAGAAGTGGTCGCCTAAAAGGAGGATTTGACTTCAAATGGTCAGTGACTGAAGAAGCAGAATGCGAAAACAGTATCTTTGACTCAAGTCACCGACCGATGGCTCTGGAGAGATTCAGACCGCCATTGACCCGTCCATCCATGGTCACCTTCCCTCCGGCGTTTTTGATGCGAGCCAACTCCAACTCGTCCTCTGGCTTGTGGTCGTACGACATGTCGACAGCTTTGCCTGCAACAGTGCAGGTACAGCTGGTTTACATTCCGAACCGGGGTTACCATTACAGGAAAACAGCCTTTGATCCGTTTGGATTTTTTTCAGCGGCAAATCAATGACCTCACCACTTATATGGATGAAGGAACATGGAAACCATGCTAGTGCTAGAGGTCTTGTATACAATTACCACAACATAAGTTCCAAAACCAAGTATACATTTTAGATTTGTAGGAAACATTTGACAACACTAGCAAAAAAAAAAAAAACTCACCCCGTTCAGACACAACGCAGCGAGAGTCTCCGGCATTGGCCACGATCAGCTGTTTTCCTCGGATCAGAGCTACGACGGCTGTGGTGCCGCTGTCTGAGCCAGGCTGAGATCACACACACAAACACACACACGGCAGAGTTCAAGTCAGACTGACTCCTGTGGCTTCCCTTGTCAAACATGCCCCTCCAAACCTCCCATTATAGAGCAGAAAATGGAGACCAAAAGATAAAACATGCTTCTATTCTCAGACAGCCTGGTGGAAATTAGTGGCCGAAATATAGACAATAGACACTTCTTTTTCCAACAGTGATTTGAAAAATGTAACAAAAGGCATTGCCCTAAATGCTTGAAGAGCTGTCCTTTTCGTATAAGACAGAACATATGCATTTAACGGGCCCACCTCCTTGAAACGTTCCTGAACAACTGGAGCAGCTATAGAGGCCATTCCACTAAACCACTATGTACAAACCTCTTCTTTGCCATCCATTCCAGGCAGACACATTTCCTCCTCATCCTCATCTTCAGAGTCTTCTTCTCCTTCCTCTGTGTCCTCCTCTTCCAGCTCACTGCTTTCACCCTCTTCCTCTTCACTGCCATCCTGATGGAAGGGAAGAGAAAAGCCATTCAGCGTGAACTTTCACAGCCCCGCACCAGCGTTTATTTTGGGCTGCTGTTCTCACCTCTTCCTCGCTGCCCTCCTCCTCTTCCTCGCCCTCCTCAGACTCTTCGCTGTCTTCAAAAAACCTGGACTTGGAGTCTCCCGCAGCCTTTGGGGACGCAGAGGAGCAGGACGGACCGGCATCTCCTTCTGCCTTAGCTGCTTTTTCCTCTCCGTTGGGACTTCCCGACTCTCCCCCTTCAGCTGGGAAGAATGAAAACAATCATAAAGGGCCGTTCGGCTTTCCGCTGCCACGTATCTGTGACAGAGCACCTGTTTACTTTACACCACGCCATGAAATGACGGCATCAGTTGTGAAGCATCTGAATGCGTTACCTGCACTGCTCTTTTCGCCTCCTGCCGTTCTCCTGCAGGCTCGCAGCTTAGATGACGCTCCCTCAGCTTCCTTCACCTTCCCGTTGCTCCCCTCCTCCTCCACCTCTCCATTTATTCCCTCTTTGTTGGGTCCCTCACCCCCTTCTCCTTTGTCTCCTGAAGCTTCTGCGTTGGCACTGGATGCCTTCTTCGCTGCAGCACTGGAAAAAAAGGTGGATTAAAACAGAATTGTTCAGAAAACATGGCTGGTTTTGGTAAAAAGACAAAGGACACCTCTGTGACACTACCTGATGGCTGCGGCGTGTTTAACAGCATTGCGGTTCTGGCCGTAGCGCACCAGCAGCTCCTCTATGGTCATGGTGGCCTCTTCGTGGAGCAAAGCTGCCTCCTCTGTGTCCACTGAGGCGAGGGGGGGGGGGGGGAAATGAGCATCACAAAAGTTGTACAACAAACTAAAAAGTCACCAAAACTCTTACTTATGCTCTTTTGTCAGAATATATTTGATGTATCTCACAGTTTTATCTTTTTTTTGGGAGACTGTGATAACTGCTATGTGGGATTCAACATCAGCCGGAGTCAGGAGAAAACTCCAGTCAATTAAAAGACGTCCCGCCTATGAAAGTCTCATCTGTCCTCAGTCACTGGAGACCAGCTTTTGTAACATAAAAAGTTGTGGAATGACTGCTATTGTCCGTTTACACAATCAACTGAACCCCTCTGAGAAGGCTCTAAAGTTGGGCTATCCCAGCCTTCCCCCATCACCTTCTTTTAGGAAACAGATTCATCTGGACTGAGAAGAGAAAACATGCAACACGGCGAAAGAGGTTTTTAAGTTTACGGCTTCACACGTTTAAGGCCCAACTTCCCACAATCCATATGAGACAATAGTTAACTACAGTTGTGTCCAGGGTGCACTCACAGTCGTCCTCCTCTGCCACCTTTTCGGCCGGTGGCTCCTCTGTGGGTCGGCCAGCAATCTGAACCAGCTCTTTGATGACCTCTTCTGTGGTCATTCTGCTGTCGATGGCCAAGAAGGCATCCTCTAGTGCCTGGGAAAAGACGCGATTATTTGTTGGCATGGCGGAAGGAGTTGATAAAGTGAAAATAATTCAACACTAACAACTATCTACTCAGTCCAACTTCTTCAATATATGAGCTTCTCACCTTTTGCAGTTTACCATCTTTGTACGCTTTTTGCTCTTTGATGATGTCAGGAAGGTACTTTGAACAGTACAGAGCAACCTCCTCACCTGAATGGGAAGCACAGGTCATATAAATGATCAAGATAGGCACGTGTACATAGAATTCTCAGAGCTGCACGTAAAACAAACAAAACAAAGAGCCATGGAAACATAACCACAGCTGTGGGAAGTTTCCTGGATTACAGTTCAGCCGTAAAGCTCCACCTCTATTACAACCTGCCGTATATCATAGACTATTATATCTGAGCTTTACCTCCGTGTCCATCGTACACTGAAAACATTGCAGTCTCCACGTCAAAATCTGGAATACAGTTGTGAGCATCCTGTGACACAGAAATTCAGGCTATTAGAACTTCTCTCCCTGCCACAGAGTAGGCAGTTTATTCATACAAAAAAGGAATGCACACTGTCATAGTTAGTCACATTTCAGATGTAAATATGAAATAAAAACTATAACTGATAAAAGTAATGCTTCCAAAGAGGTGTCTTATAGCGGGTTAGCTGCCAAGACCATTTGATGTACCAGAAGTTCTCAGAGTGATTTCAGACCTGTTCACATGTGGCATTAGTTTATGTCACAATGGAGCAGCTCTGAGTGTGAATTAACTCCTGTAAATTACAGCATCAACAGAGTTCAAGTATTTACAAAAATGTTTTCAAGGACCACAAATATGAGCAGCTGACACCACCAGCACCATCTGTGAAAATATGTACCAATACACAGGTGTTAGATTTTTTCAGAAACATTATCGAAAACATATCAAGGAACTTGGGTTTGTTTGGAGCACATCAATAAACATCCAGTTTGTACGCTTATCGTGAACTCCTCTTTAGTAAGCTGCCTCTCTTGTGACTGAAACTAATTGTGTGCACTCAGAAATGGGCATGACTTTTAACAACAGGGAAGCATGAATATTTCAGTCACAAGTGATCACCTAAAACAGTTTCCAGTAAAGTGAAGTAGCATGGTTAGTCCCCACCTAGGAGTGATCAGCTTAAACCAGATGTGGGGTAAGATCTATGACTAGGAAGCTGACACGAGCTGAATGGCCTTAGTGATGTGGAACTGATATACCCACTGAGCACAACTCACTGGTTTCAACCACCAGAAAAACTAGTTTTGGAGCAACTTATTGTGAACTAAAAAGTAACATTTCACGGGGAGAAAAACCGCCAACAAGAAAGAATCCAGTCTTCTTCCAGCTCCATAAACTACGGCAAAAAATATCAGTTCGTGATAAATAAAAAGACTTGAGACGCGGTTGCTCTGGTTTAATGCTCCGCCTTACCTCCATGGACACCCGCCAGCCTTGCATGGCAGAGAAACCGTAGCTCATGTTGCTGTTGCCGCCATCGGAAGAGGTCTTGGTCGTGTTTGGCTGCGACAGATATGCCCCCATGGTTGTCTGTTTCTATGGCTTTCACACCTGCAGAGAAAAAACGGCAAATTCCATCTTAAGGAAAAGACACTCTTGCTTCATTGCATTTAATAGTCACATTTATGCTGCGGTGCCCGCCTCGCTTGTTACGTTGCTAGCTAGCTAACGTTAGCAACACCACAACAAAAAAGTAGACGCATTAGCTAGCTAACATCACCGTGCTAACAGGGGCGAACCCGGCTAAACTTCCAGTGGTAACCTCTGGCCCCGCCACGGAAGCGACTGCGCAATTGTTCAAAAACCAAACCATCGCAGTTGAAAACTCTCTTACTTTTCGTGGCAGAGCAGGATTAGTTTATCAAAGGTCCGGAGGAGAGCTTTACATAGGAATGATTGCACGTGTAGATGCAAAAGCCGCTATCTTCTCCTCCCTCTCCTTTTTCTTTTAATTCTTCTTCTGCGGCTACTTTTACTTCTTCTTCTATAGTGTCTGTTACTGGTTGGAAAAACTAGTTTCGGGGATAGTTGACGCCACCAGCTGGACTGGGACAGTAAAGTGAAAGTCCCCATTTGCTTGATAACATTTTATAAACATAATATAAAGACACAGTTTTAAGAGTTCACACAGAATGGAACTTTATCTCCTAATAATTTATTCGAACTAAATTTTCAAAATTAAAATGAATTTATCTTAAATTCATATTTTCTCACATACTCAATGCGCCATTCAAATCCATTTGCACAAATTTAGTTAATCTATACAAAGGATCGGCCACTCACTGAACATTGTTGCAATTGCAACTTTATACTTAATTTTGTTATTATTTTTAGACTTTATTGTGTTTAATTGTGTTTCAAAAAATTCTTGACATTTTCTAGACATCTGCACATTGGCTCATCAATTTTGCTTGTAATTGATAACACAAAAAACATTAAAAATTGTACACTAATATGATCTTGTCCCCCCTTTCCTCCAGACAGTCACTGACAGCTGGACAGCTGGTCATGGTCACTAAAAGATTGAAAGAGAAATATTCCAAAAACAAAAAAGTTTATTCATGAGGTAAAACAGCCACCATTAGTACAATTTGAAAAAACTTTCACTCTTTTGAATACTTTCTAGTTTATGTATTGAAGATAATAGGTGCTCTGTTATGATGAGTAATTTTTTCTCAGGCCATAAACATATGCAAACCTACAGGATTAATCAAAAGATTGGAAACAGACACAAAACCTATTTCTGAAGGGGAAAAGTCCAACTATTTAAAGGAGTGCAACTGGGAGTGCCATCTCCCTTCTTTCAAAAGTTCAAGACACGTATAATACACAGTCTTGGCGAACAAACTAAAGAGATATGTCGAAATTTTGAAAATTTAAATTAACCGGTTATATGTAGTGACAAATACTAACCAGTTGGTGGCGGTAATGCCCCGTATGTTTGTTTCACGTGCTGCCCGTAGCTAGAGGAAGAGGAAGATGATACGTCACTGATTCAACATGGCGCGGGAAACCCGGGAACAGAAAGAGATGGAAGTTCGCGCAGCAGTGGCCGAAGCAACGGACAGTGTTTCTCCAATTTCTTTAAACTTGTACGAAACTCAGTTTTTCGGTTTCACTCCGCAAACATGCATGCTGCGGATCTACAGCGCCTTCCAGGACTGCCTTTATGACATTTTGCCCGTGGTGGAGGAGGTGTGTGTCAGGCAGTTGGGCAAAGGAGAGTCGGACGGGGAGCTGCTTCGGACTCGAGCCAGAGAGTGCAGCCGGAAGTTGCAGCAGTTCCTCGAAGAGCGCTTTAAGCAGCTGTCGGTGAGGATGGAGGCGCTGCTGGTGAGCCGCTGCTTTACCGTCCCGCCAAACGTTCTGCTGCCCGAGGACCAGTCACACAAGAACTACCCCCAAGACGTCCAGGTGGGTGGAGGCTCCCCATTAGACTGACCATCAGCTGTGACAAGCTGCTCATTTCTACATAGTTGGCAGTTTGTGACCATCAGCAAAGCATATAGATTCAGATCTCATTTGATTTACCTCATTCATACACCAAACTGCTACCTTTATATTTGCATTTAGGAGGTGATGAAGCTTGAGTCGTCCATGGCAGACCTCCACAAGGCCTACGAGGCAGAGGTGTGTGCCAGACGGGCCCTGCAAGCTGAGCTGGAGGAGCAGAGGGAGGTGCAGCAGCAGCTGGATGCCATCCTGACCTGGGTCAGAGAGCTCCAGGCTGCCTGGGTGAAGGAGGGTAACGGCAACTTCCAGGAAAGTTTCAGACTGGTGATGGAATCGGTGAAGAAGCTGCAGGAGGCCGTCAGGGAGGTGCTGGCCCGCAGCAAAATGCCCAACTGAACAGATGTGTGACGTATAATGTAAATAGTAAAGACTGATGTATTACTATGTCTGCCCAAACATTCGGGGAGCTTTTCCTCCCATTGCCATAGTTAGACTGTGTGGACACCTCCTCTTTAGGAATAATATTCTACCCTAAACAGATGAGGTAGCGTTTCAGTAATTAATCCGCATTTTCCCCATTTCCATCAAACTTGGTGGTCGCTGTATGGCTCTGGCTATCGATATGGTTAACTGTCTTGAGAACTTCAGTGTGAGAATGATTCCTAACAGAGGGCGCTCTTTACATGTGAACAAAAGCTAACCCGTACTAACTGCCTGTGACCCTGTGGTGGAAGTCATAATAATGAAACTTTTCGGAATCCAGCTTCTTTTTGAGTACCAGCTAATTATCTTTGGCATCGTAATGCTGGTTTACTAATATTTTACAATCCAAACAGCTATTTTCTTTGGGAGATAGATTCAACATTGACAAAAATAACCATCAATTATGGACCCAGGGTTATTCTTAAGAATAGGTGGTTGGGTTTTGGTGTTTTGTTTACAGTGTAACAGCTGCTTCACGTTCTAATTGACAGTTCTTGCTTTCAAACCTGCTGGTTAGTCGCTCTGCAGAAGAAATGTTGCAAATAGTTTGCCTTTCACCCCATTTGAATAATTATTTCTCAGCATAAATAGAAGAACTTTGTTTGCATTCCATTAGGCTCTCTGCTTTTGTCGAAGTTTCTGCCCGTTTTTCTTTCACAGTGTTTTTGCCAAATCTCAGTGAAGATCCTGCTTTCGAAAACCCAAAGTACCAAATGCTGACTGCTCAAAAGGTGCTGTTCCCTTCATTTGAAATAAAGTTGAAGCTTTGTGGGATTTCATAACATTGTATAACTATATATTTTTAATTGGTTATATCTGTGTAATTACTGGCATCAGCGGATGTGTATTAAATGTAAATATGCTAAGACTCCTGACTGTTTGTGTTTTGTTCAGTAGGGGGCAGCATCTGCATGCTGTAATCATTGTGTATGTCCTAATGCACTCCATGTGAAGTGCCCCAAGATTACTAATGTTGGGAATATGAGCAAGATAAATAAAGCTGAATTTATGTAGTTGTTTAACAACTGTGCAGCAATCTATAATGTAGCAGGAAAACTGCCGGTTCAAACTGAAATGGATCTTTCTACAATCATTAAGGAAATACATTTTCATGATGACAGTCTGAAGGGTGCTGGGGTATCTCCCTCCCCTCTGTGGCAGATGAAGGAAAACCCATTCTTTTCTTGTTCATTTGTAAACACTGCAGGCATGATGGGGAAAAAACTATGCTCCCAGAGGAGCACTCTTGTGAAAACTGAGCATGTGCAAAGATTATTTCATTTGTAGCATTCCAAAGGCTGTAATCAGTATTTTTATGTCAGCTTTACAGCAATAACAACAATTAGGAAAGAGGGGGAGAAAAGGACATCAATGATTACAGGCTGTGGGTAAACGACCAACATTTGTTTTAGCATTCTTTGGCTGACTTGAGAAATGATCGGTCCAAATGGAAAGGTGTGAGGGCTCCTTTCTGTTTTTCTTACTTTGTTAAAGAGACCTGCAGCAGTGATAATGATCTTTCAGGCTGTGGCTGTTTTGTTCAGAGCAGTTTGCCAATAAACAGAACCAAAGCAAGTAGGAGCACCAATCAGATATCAAAAGATAAAACTAGTAGCTAAAATGACCGAACAATCATCAGGAGCCAAAAGAAAAGGAGGCTCTCTGTCTGAAATGAGCCAAAAGGACTAAATTGAGTTTGAACGGTTAAAACTAGACACCCAAGCGAAACCACTAAATTCAATATGTTTAAAAAAAATTTTTTTTTCTTGATTAAGCGTCTAAAGTGGTTGAATAACACGACTTGCTTTCTTCACCTCTGATGCTCCGTCAAGCTTTCATGGCGGCTTCTCTCTGCGTTTGTGTGTTTTTGCTTGTTTAAAGTGGTTCTGTGAATGTCTGGTCTTCAGTGGAATGAAGTCTTAGCACAGATAGGTGAGTCGAGCCGTTGAGGCTGTGTTCGCTCCTCACCCTGAGAACCTCTTTGGCTGTTTTTGCTGCACGTTTAGGATTGATGTCCTGTCAGTTGTGATTCGTCTGGCTAGGGCTCAGAACGCTGTCTCATATTCCAGTGTCCATCTTATGTCTTCTAACAGTTGTGAAAATCTTCAAAGCTGCCAGTGAAACCGAACCGTCAACATGTTTGATGGGTAAAGATAGTACTGGTGCACTTCTTTATTCACACTTTCACTTTTTATTCATACATTTTGTCCTTCCAACCTTTAACGGAGACTGACTTCTTTTTACATGCTGAAAAACAATCAAGTTTTCTTGATTTCGAGGCTCACCAGGACGGTGCACCTTGTGGTGAATCCCCTGATTTATGGTCACAGAGTCATTTACAAGGAAGCACACTATTTTTGCCCACATTCCAGAGACAATCCTTGACATGATGCCCTTTCACAAAATACGTTTTCCTGACGTTTAAAACATGCCCATTTGCCTTTTTTCCCAGTTATTCTTTCTCTTTCTCCAAACTTAAATCTTCGTGAACAGTTTTCTCTGATTTTTATCATCCACCTATTTTTGAATGGGCATTTATTCTCCACTTTGTTTGGATGTCTTTATATTTATTCCTCATCATGATAGACAACTTTATACATCATAAGTAGACATGAGTTCCTTTCAGTATAGGCCAACAAGGAAGGACACAGGTATATGGAAACACTTAGAACTGAATGTATTACAGTTGTTTAAGAGTTTTTGCGATCAGTGCAAGTTTTCAACGGAGTATGGTCCCAAACGCTTTCTTCTTCCCTGCTGTAAGTCCATATAATGATGGTCTGGATTATAAGTAGCCTTAAAATGGTATTAGTTGATCATAAAAGTTCTAAAAGTCAATGACAAATGTTTTTTTGTGTGTGTGATATCTTTGAAAGCCTGTACAAGACGTTGAACACGGTGGAGACAGCTGTTTGCAGTAGTCTGTATGCAAAGTTTATCCCCAAAGTCAGCTGGCAGAGGGAATAAAATAGAGTAATGCAAAGAGAAAAGAAACATTTATTACGCAAGACTAAAAACCAAACAAGTGTCAGTGAAAGTTATTTGAAGTGAGAGTGAAGATTAAACAGCTTAAACAGATTAAATGGGAGAAGAATTGGATGGATAAACATTCTAGAAAGTGCAGCATTTCACAACATATTTGATATAATGTGCGTCTGAATTTTCTTTTGTGTTTGTCCACAGATGTTGAGTTTCCCAAAACACAAAAGTTCTTCTGTCACCCCTGCACTTTCATCTACTTGAGCCAGTGAGCTGAAAAAGGGTTTCTGGGTGCTGCCTGGGGGCTCATATGGATCATGTGCTGCTCACAGATTGCTGTCCTTCATTTTAAAATTAGACTGCTGCTCTATTTATTCCATCCACACACTGTGCTCTAGTCTTCTGAAGTTCAGACTAAAGGATTAATGCAGACCTACCGTGTGTAGATCTCTGGCAGTGTGAGTGTATGTGCATCTGTAACACACCTATGTGAGGTCATGTATGTACCTGTTGGAATTTGTGACTGTACCAGTCGGTGTGTGTGGCGTTTGAGCATTTGAATCTACGTGTGTGTGTGTGAGTGAAGACAGCATATGGACAGTGCCCTCCTTCCTGTTGGGAGGGGAGTAGCGTGGCTCTCAGTGAACCACAGCTTGACCTCTGACCTTCTGGGATCACACAAAGAAAGCGACACAAACCCAGATACCTACACACACATACTCATATATATGTCCTCTCTCAGCCCACCAGCTGTCCTCATGGAGCGAGCGTCCCACACTGAGACAGAGAGGAGGTGAGAGTGACTGTCAGGCTGGCAGACGGGATTGTTTTCTCAGGCTGTGAGGGAGCGACTCTGGAATCCACTCTGACTTTTCCAAACCCACGTGTCACCCAGCAGGAAAACCAACACACCACAACAGAAAAAACAACAAGATTCATTACTTCATTCATGAAATTTGAAACAGCTTTTCCGTGTGAGATGATCTCTTATCAGATTTTCTGATAGTCACTGATTTTTATACATACTTTGGTTTTCTTTGCTCTTTATGTTTCATATTTAAAAAATGCTGTAATTAGGGTTTTTAAGCCACAGTTGGACATAGATTCAAAGCAAAATATAGTGTTTTTCTAATAACAAATGTAATAATCCAGTTGAAAAAGGGTTGAAAGTGGGAGGGTCTTATCTTAAAGCAGCGAAGACCATATTTGTAGATCAGTGGATTCACGTCCATGTCAGTTATTTTCATTTTATGCTCTGAGACAAGCTGGTTTAACAGAGTGCAGAAAAAATCTAATAATCAGCTAAAATAAGATGATCATTCTGAGGTTCAGTTTTCTTTGCTGCTCAAACACAACTGCATCCCTAACTCCTAAATCTGAAAACCTGATGTTATTTGCTCATTATTTGCCATTGGTTTTGTCTAACTACATACAGACATAAAGTAAACTGAAGCATCTTTGGAATCATACCATCAAGCTTTCACTAATGGTTACTTTCTGTGACTTTTTACACAAAGTAACCAGCAGTGAAACTCTCCTCTGCTGGACCTTGGGAGTCAGAGGCATTCATTGGCCACCTGACCTGGTCAAGCAAACGCAACTGTGTCAGAAACCTCCAAGAGAAAAGTGTTCAGAGCTTGTTGGATCATCACATGATGGCTGAAGGATTTTATCAACTATTTAGCCATGTCACACATCTTGACACAAATACAATCTGTTAAACTTTCATTGAATACGTGCATGGAAACACAGCAGAGCTGCTTTCTGAGGCTCTGGGGGCATTATTTGTCAATACTTGAAAACAGAAAACCGACAGGAACAATGAATCAGATGAACACCACTAAAATCCAGCCGCTGATGAATAACACACATCTGTTTTATTACCCTAAAAAAGCAAGAAAATAGAAGTTCCTGGTTCTGTAGACTGATGGTGGAAAAGGCTTTTGGCAGTGGGTTGCATGCACTCCCATGCCACGTAATGGCCATGCTCTCAATCACAATTATCTTCAGTATTTATGTGGTTTAATTATACCAGTGGCTTTTGGGTGGGGGCTAATAGATCACTTTAGATCCATTGGGTTGCAATAGATTTCCACACTCATCATTTTTCATTGAGTCAACAAGTTTAAAATTGTAGGTTAAACATGTCTGACCACGATAGTCTCCCAAATTATACTTAATATCTAAAGTTTGTCTGTTACATTTGAAATCGGCTAACCCACTCAGAAGTCCTGAGTACTTTTCCAATTTCTTATTTGTGAATGACAAGGAGTCAACGAGCGGTTTTATGTATCAGTACAGCACGCCTCCTTGACCATACTGCAGTTGTGCTGTATTGTCCTTTGAATACTTCTGCAGTGAATAGTGGCAACAATTAGAGGACAAAAAGAAGATGAAGGGAAGAGCTGTGAGAAGAAAAGTGAAAGAGGAAAGCAGAGGTGAGAGAGGAAGAAAAGGAGGTGAGGAGGAGCAGGGCAGCAGCTGGCAGGTGTCAGGAGTCACAAAGCACCATCTGTCTATCCAGTCCCATCTTCACACTACCACTGGCTCTTTTAAATTGTGTCAGTCACACATCCAATCATTCCCCACAATTTAAAGTTTTATTAATGTTCACACTAATTGGGGAGCTTAGACGCAATTAAAAAGATTTTTACAGTAAAATATTGACTCTGTATCATTTTTGGCTCCAACCCGACAGGTTTCAAACCAGGAGAGAGTCTGACCGCCGGCCAGAGTTGAGGAGATGCCATGATGTTGACAGAACAGGAGCTGTGGCGAACCCCGACCCTGTGTGTGTGTGTGGTATTTTGCTCCTCTTCTAAACTCGAGTGCCTCAGATACTTACCAAGAAAGACTTGTGCACACACACAGTGCTGACCCCTGACCTTTCACCTCAGACGATCTCTCTCTGGGGACCTTTTAAGAGTGTGGGGAGCGCTTGGATGACACAAGTTAAAAACTTCATGCAGGCACAAACAACACTCATCAGAGTTTTCAACTGAGTGTGTGAGAGAGGAACTAC